CAATCAGCAACTTATTTTTCATTTTCATTTTTTTCATTTTTTTCATTTTTTGAAATGACAGAATATTTAACAGCATAAACACCAGCAAGTCGCACCAATACTGTCTATTTAGAATATACTTTAACATTATGTCTGTAGTAAATTCAACAATGATATATGACTGAAAAAATCCAAAATCATCATTTCATGTGTTACAGCGTCATTGCTGGTGAAATATGAGATAGTTCTGCATTTCACAACGTCACATTCATTCTCTAGATTAAAATGGATTTTCTTTCTTTGTGTCACTGTGTAAAACAGTGAATGAAAGGAGCTCTTGCTTTGATGATCTTATGAGTAAACTGAGTGTTAGTAATCAGAGAAGATTCTTCATTAATGGATTCACCAAAGAGAAAGGGCACATTGAAATGGCACTGGCCACCTATTGATTGAATAGCAGCATTTACTCATACTTCACAATGGAGAAAACACCTTGTTTTGCAAGTAATAATTCAGCTGCTTTGTGACACAGAGGCCTAACACGAGCCTGCTGGTGTAAACAAAGAGTTTCCCCAAGTTCCATTATCTTCCAGCAGATTCCTGCATATTACAGACTGCAGAAAAAGATTGAGGCGTATAACCAGGTCACATTCCTCAGAAGTGACACGACGGCTTCTCTTAGGGCTTCCCTGACGACCCTTAGCACCAATGAAGTGAAAGCCAGCCTTTGAGAAGCGAAACCATGGAGACGCCTGCACTGATTCACACAATGTAAACTTCCTGTTTCATTCTGTAAAGAAGTCACAAAGGTGACAGAATACTCACAGTTACATTACTAATTGGCATCTGCCTGAATGTATCGCGCCAGAAATTGTTACGCATAACTACACACACATAACACATTGTTGAAATTGATTAATAACATAAATGGTATCTATAACCAAGTCCCGGTTTTAAAATTTCAGTTTAAAAAATCTCAGCATGGCGAAGACATTTCCTGCTGAGCTGGTATAGCTGATATATTTTTTTAAATATCAAATTGTGTGATAGACATTCTTCACGCCAGACACAGAAATTCACAATCGGTTTCCTTCGTCCATTTTAAGTCATGATACTTTTTCATTCATTTTAAAGGTGTTTTTCTTGAACACAGCATGACTGCAGCTCAGAGTATTTGCAGGGACATGAACAGAAGGAGGCCTTCACCGTGTCTCAGTTGGTAGTTCGTAGCTTCCTAGGTTGGGGGTTTAAATCCTGACTCTTCTCTGTGTAGGAGGAATTTACATGCCCACCCCCCACCATATTATGAGGGTTTCCAGACAAAAGGCATGCAGTTAGAATTACTGGCATCTGTATATTATCTGCAGTGTACCTGCCCAGTGAGAGTCTGCAGTCCAATCCTGGGCATCCACCTGTTTTTTGACTCCCTGTCCAGGACAAGTGGATGGATGAACAGAAGCTACAGAAGTTCTGGGGTGAAGATCCCCTCCGTTTTTAAAAGTGCAATTTCTGCAAACACCATTAACAGCTGCCACTTGTGGGGGACAGATCATCAAAATATTCCCAGTATGACCAAAACAGGCCCCCACATTTTCGAGCCGTTCTGCTCCACATTCAGCTCCACACTAACCACACAGTCCCATGCTCTCACTCCCACCGCAGTGTAAACCCTCTCAGACAGACACTTTAATCTTCCTGCATCTTGATTGCGTGCAAGAGAATAATGCAGCCTTTCTGTCTTCAGGTTATAAACAATAAGCCTACAAGTCAGAGTCAAATCATTACCAGTTTCCAGTTCCTCGAGTAAAACTGGAACTGTGAACTGGTCATGGTATCATGGTGGTCTGGTCCTGCAGAGTCTTGTCCTTTGGCTATGAAACCCTGCCCATGGACATGTTCTAGCAATTGATGAGTCTTGGCTCTGATTTGTCATAGTGTCCCATATTTTCCATGGGTTTATTGCAAAGGAAATGCAGCATGCTTGTAATCTTAAGGTATTATATGCTTACAGCATTATAAGCTTTGGAGTAGTCATGCTTCTCGGGACTCACACTATAGAATAGCTGTTCTATGGCAGTGTTTCCCAAGCCGGTTCTCAGGGACCCACAGACCCCTCCCAGCTCCCAAAACGTAGTCTGCAGCTCTCCTAGGACCATATTAGGAAACACTGCCCTGGGGCAATACCAATACAGTGCACTCAGACCTGGGCACAGATTGCACACTTTATGTTTATAACCTAATAGGATAATCAACCCTTTTCCTTCTAACCTCCGTGACTTATTACACATTGTAATGTAAATATATTGTTCAAACTTTGTGTAAATCCATCCTTAACATGAGCACTGTACAGAATTGAATCTTTTTCAGATGTACATTAACCAAGTGAAAACAGAACGCTTGGTCACCTGCCGTCCTGTCACTGTCAAACGGAGGCCATGGGTACAAGAGATTGACAAAAAAAAGGCCTCACCAAGCAATATTTATCAAAGAATTATACTTTCAACAATTAGCTGTTTATTGTAAAATGTATTAGTCTGTCATTATTGCTAGTAGCGACTGACTAACCCTACCTATCAGAGAAATGTTGGTATTTATTGGGTTGTATCACTATGTCATCTACTGACCATTCAGTTGTCTGAAAATGATGGTGCTCGACCGTGTGCTGGTGCTGCGTCATGGTGTTTCAGAAATGAAGACTTGACTAGGGGGAAGTGCGATGACTTCATGTTTATTTTACGGCTCCTGTTCAAATATTCTGAGCTGGATAAAATCTAGCACAGAAATGGCTGTCTAGGAAGAAAATTAAAATCTTCTTTGACGTTTTTGATGATGCCAATTCTAAAAGACAGACATGCAACACTAACATGATTCAGTGTGGAGAAAGACTGAGACTGCATGGTCCCCCCCCCCCGACTGGGGGCGTGGCCCTGTGGCATTCCAGGGCCTCCTCTGTGTGCCCCAGCTCTGACTCCCCTCTCGCTTTGGTTTCCCTTTCAAAGGCCTGAAACGGTGCTGTTGTCATCGTAACACCTTGTGTTTCCATCAGCTGTCAGTGTTACACCTCATGAGCTGAGGTATTGTCCCGTGTTTAAGTTCCTACTCCTTAATTGGTGCCATCAATACACACCAGAGATGTATAAGACATA